ATCAAATTCCAAATCAATGTGGGATTCTTTCTTATCAATAACAAATTCCATTTTTTTCACTTCACCATCTTTTTCATAAATGATTGGTACTTTTAATGTGAAAATGCAACCACTTTTTGATGTTTGAGTTATTTCTAGAGCAACAAACTTTTGGTTGTATTCAATTTCCTTAACAATCAATGTTGGAAAACCGAAGTTTTTCAGCCATGCATCAAAAAATGAAGTATAATCTTCATTCAATGTATTATTAACGCATGAGACAAAATCTGAAATATCAACAGATTTGTTTTTGTATTGATTTAGATATGACTCGCAAAAATAAAAGAACTTTTCTTCTCCAATCATGTCGTAAAACATTTTCACAACAAAAGCGCCTTTGGAATAAGTCAAATGTCCAAACAAGTAATTTAAGTTTAATTCTGATTCTTTTTCAACCAAAACCCCTTCATCATAGTAATCCAAGCATGTTTTTCCTTCTTCTTCTGCAAAGATTTTAAATACATCCAATTTTTTATTAAAATCTCTTAAAATTAAATACTGAATGAATTCTGCAAATCCTTCATTCAACCACAATGAATCCCAATATTTAATGCAAACTAAATCGCCAAACCATTGATGGACAATTTCGTGCATTATTACAGATGCTTTGCTGGTGAAATATTTATTACTAGAGGTGTAATCTGGAAGCGTTATCAATCCATAGTTTTCCATTCCAGGTGGAAGTCCACTCAACGAAATTAGTTGAAGATGTGGCAATTCATATTTGACATGCAATTTTGATTCCAACCAATCCAGTGAAAATATCGCAACGTCAAGATACTTCTTTAAATATTTTTCTCGTCCAGGGCTTGTGAAGTATTCAACAAAAATGCCTCCTTTTGTTGATCCATATATTGATGCAAAATGGCCAACACAAATGCATAGTAAATAGCTGCTCATTGCTGGCGTTGGAAAGAAAGTGACTTCATTTTCATTGTCTAATTTATTAATCGATTTAATTGGCATATTTGAAAGAGCTGTTAATTGTGAAGGAATGAGAAGTTTAACTGAAAAAATGGAACGAACAAAAGGTTCATCATAACATGGAAGCAGCTGTCGTGCTCCACATGGTTCAAAATCAGTAAGATAATTTCCATTATTCATATAAAATCCAAAACGTTGATTTCGATTAGGTAAAATAGAATATTCTATTGTAATTGGGTATGTGGTGAAATCAAATTCTTGTACTTTTGATTGATATATAATTAATATTGGATAACTGACTTGGAACCTAAGATTAATATTGTTCTGAGAAACTTTCTTGATCTTTAATGTTTTATCAATACTTAAGTATATTTTATCATCATCAATATTTGGAGTTTTTTGAAAAGTGATAGCAACACTGGCATCAAAAGGACATGTACCTTCAACTATGTGCAAATACAAATCATAGCTTTTCGGTATATATATTTGTGGAAGTCTTTCACTTGCTAAGCTCATTAAATTATAATATTCATGCCACAAAATTTTAATAATTTTTTGGGAAATTTTGAAAAATTTTGAAAAATTTTCAAAATAGACTTTTTATTGAGCCAATTTTTATGTTATATAGCATAAATAATTATAACTTAATGATAAAAATCATTTTTATTCTATATATAACGCAAGAAATATCAAAATATCATTAAAGTCTTACTATTTAAAATTTGAATGATTTACAATTTTAAAATTAATCATGAGCATAACTCAGCAGGAAAAGATAAATAAAACAACTGAGATAAATGGCATCATATATTTAATCAACAAAGAAGATCAAACAGCCAGTGTTGTTAGCTGTAATACCAGCAATAACGAAATATCTATTCCACGATCGATTTCAATAAAAACAAAAGAATATATAATTACAAAAATTTCAAATTTAAGATTCGCGAAAATAAAATCAGTTAAATTTTCAGTCTTCTCCGAAATCCAAAAAATTGATGATCGCGCTTTTTTTGGATCTGAAATTGAGAGTTTTCAAATCACAGACCATCTCACATATATCGGTAAATCTGCTTTTCGTGATTGTGGGAAACTTCAAAAAGTTGAAATTTCCGATTTTTCTGAACTCCAAACAATCGAACAAGAAGCTTTTTATAATACACAAATTGAGAGCTTTACAATTCCACCTCACCTAACATTTATAGGTGAATCTGCCTTTAATAATTGCAATAAACTTCGTGAAATTAAAATTCCCGAAAATAGTGACCTTAAAACTATTGGAAAATGTGCTTTTGCTAATACAAAAATTGAATACTTTACAATTCCACCTCACCTTACGTGTATTGGTGAATCTGCCTTTGAAAATTGCATCCAGCTTTGCAGAATTGAAATTCCTGAAAATTCAGAGCTTAAAATCATTGAAAAAGAAGCATTTAGTAATACATCAATTGAAAGCTTTACAATTCCACCTCACCTCACCAAAATTGGTGATTATTCTTTTAAAGATTGTAAAAAACTTCGAACATTCATAATTCCAAACAATTCAGAACTCCAGACAATTGGCAGTTCTGCATTCAATAATTCTTTGATTGAGAGCCTGACACTTCCTGCAACTCTCGTCGACGTCAAGGAAGGGTGGTGCTCTTTGATGCCGAATTTGATGAAAATCGCTGTCAGTCCTGACAATCCACGATTTTCTATGCATGGAGACAAAATGATCATTGAAAAATCAACTGAGTCAGAAAATTTTGATGCCCTTTTTTTCTGTTGGCGGGACATTCAAAAAGTGACAATTCCAAGTTTCATAAAAATCATTAGATCGTGCGCATTTGCATATTGTGATCAACTTCATCAATTTGAAATCCCATCAAATTGTGAAATTCAGTCGATTGAATGCTATGCCTTTTCAAAATCTTCAATTGAATACTTTACAATTCCTCCAACCGTCACAAAAATAAGCAAAGGATCTTTTCTACAATGCAAAAAGCTTCGCCGAGTTGAATTTCAAAAGGATTCAAAAATAGAGAAAATTGAATGTTGGGCTTTTTCTGGATCAAAAATTGAATCCTTTACAATCCCACCTCACCTCACTGAAATAGAAGATTATGCTTTTCATAAATGCAGCAAGCTTCGTAGAGTTGAATTTCTAGATAATTCACAGCTTGAAATAATTGGTGATTGCGCATTTAATATGTCTGCAATTGAATGCTTTACAATTCATCCGAGTGTAACAAAAATTGGGATTCAAGCTTTTGATTTTTGCAAGAATCTGCAAATAATCGAAATTGATGAAAATTCTGTGATAGAGCCGTTTCATATTATCAATCAATTTACGTCTCACAATGAACAACTTTTAGTCATGATTCCAGTAAATAAGAGAGATGAGGTCATTTGCAATGATAATTCTAATGATCTTTTTAATTCAGATGATTATGCTGACTTTTTATAAAATTTTTTAATGAAGAAATATTATTTTATATATACATTTTGAAGATTTTTTGAAGTTTGAGTTATTCTGAATATTCTCCAAGTATTCCAATGATATGTCTATCAACTGCCATTTTTCCTCATGACTGGTTTCTTTGAGGATTCAAAAAAATTCTTTTCGAAATTTTTCTTTCAATTTAGAATTTGCTTTCTTCAGTTCAAGAAATTCTAGAAGAATGTTCTGAACACTTTTCATTTTTCTAACAAATTCTTCAATGTTCATTTTTAACAAAAGTATTGAAATGTGATATAAAAATAAAATCAATCAATTTTTTATATCACAAAATGTTATCAATTTTGAGTTTAATATAAAACAAATAAATATGAAAAGCTACTGAGGATTTCTGAGGAATGTTCTCAATTTTTGAATTGGCGTATAAAATGGTGGATGATTACTCCACGAAAAAATTCATGAGTAGGGGGTCATGCTTTTTTCGATATAATTTTCAATAAAAGAACTTTAACAAAAAGAAACTTTAACAAAAAGAAATTTATTTTTTAGTATTTAGTATATTTAAAGCAAGATTAGTATATAAAAAATTTACTTTACATAAATTTTCAGAGCCATATGGCGTGTTTTTTTCCAAAAAAAAAAAAAAAAAAAATGGTTCCGATTGATTTAATAGAAGATAGATGCTCGTCATTGAAAGAAATCACAATTCCTTCTTCAATGACATCATTTAAAAATTACACTTTTCAGGGATGTTCGTTATTAGCACGAATAACCATTCCTTTTTTTGAGACAACAATCGGTGACACTGCTTTCAATGGATGTCATTCATTGAGTGAAATAATATTTCCTTCTTCAGTTGGGCGTATCGGTGAATATTCTTTCTCTGATTGCTCGTCATTGAAGCAAATAGAAATACCTTCTTCTATTAAATCGGAAATTATTGTTTTTACAGATGCTCTTCTTTGGAGAAAGTTTCGATTCTTTCTAAAATTACATCAATTGGAGATGGCGTTTTTAGTTCATGTACTTCTTTGGCTTTAATTTCTATCTATAATTGCTCATCATTAACGCAAATTGAAGTTCCATCTTCTGTTAAATCAATTGGAAATTGTGCTTTTTATGGATGTTCATCATTGGCAATATTTCATTACCTCCTTTGATTAAATCAATTGGTGGTTATGCTTTTTATGGATGCGCTTTATTGGCAGAAGAATGTGTCCCATCTTTTGTAGTTTCTGTTGGCAATAATGCTTTTTCAATAAGACTTTTTGTCAAAATAAATTTTAAATTTTTTTTTATTGCTTACATAAAGTAAGATTCAAAAGGCTTGTGACAAACTTTTTCAATACGTAAAGGTCAAAATTACTCATTTTAAATGTCAATAAGTCCCAAGTAGAATGCAAGATTTTCAGAGAAACATTGAAAAAAATTGAATGTTGTCCCAAGCTTTTTGAATCCAACTTTTTATAAAAATTCGTGTTTATATTTTGTTTTTATTAATTTCAGATGTATTGTTTATAATAATTACAGTGAACAAACTAATTGTACTCAATTTTTTTTAAAAATTACAAAGTGATAAAAAAAAAAAAAATTAAAAAAATGTCCAAGGATGGAATCGAACCATCACCAAACCTGTGTTAGAGGTTCACTCTTGCCATTAAGTTACTCAGACTTTATATCTTTATTATATTTTTGCAATATTTCAAAATTTAAATGAGATATTTATCAACAATCGAAAAAGTTGAACATTTGTACATAATTGCAGTTAAAGTGCATCATTAAATAATTTTATAATTGCAACAATTTAAAGCATTACTGAAACTTGCAAGTTAAAAATCATACTATAGATAAATAATAAGAATTATATTTAAATGATTTCATGACTTTAATAGCAAAGAGCCAATACCCTCTCTTTAAATGAATTCACCATAAAATTCAATTGAATCAAACATCAAATAATTTTGATCAAGCCAACTTTTGCCTGTCTGACAAATCCGAATGAATCTAAAATCGTGAGGATTTTCGATTTGAATAGAGAACGTATATGTTTGTCCGCATCCTCCGAGAAATTGGCAATTGTCTTTGGCATCAATTGTCATCCAGTTGTTGCAATCAGTAGATCCTTCAACTTTCCAAGATTTGAGATGATGACCATTCTCTAAAGAGCAAGATTTAATTGTATAATTTGTTGGGGATACCAGATGTTCTTTAAAGTCAAAACAGATCCATGATTTTTCATTATTTTCTGACATAAAATAATTTCTTTGCTCATTTTTGAGAACATTTATTGGGAAGTGCTGATGTTTAACTGATGATGCGGTTACACTAATTTCATTATTGCAATTTCCAAATGATTCATTTCGGAAGTAATTAAAAATACCTTCAAAATCTTTGTTTTGATAAAAAAGTTTTTTTCTGATTTTAATTGGTCGTATGAAATCGTCATTTTCAACAATTTTAATTCTCTCTGTAATCTTTTTTTAATGCTTTCCCATATTCCAATATTTAAATCCTCGAATTTAAATATTGATAAAAAATTATTAATGTCGTTTCCGTTGACTTTCAAGAAATCAACATATTCAAATAAGTAAGAAAATTTCGATTTTCCAGAGTAAATTGCAATTATTATATTCAAAAACTGGCTCTCTGATTCGGTCTGAAGCTCAGGATTTGAAATAATTGATTCAATCGTGAAAATTGAAAGATTTGACAGTTTCCTTATTTCATCTGGTTGAATCTGGAACAAATTTTTTGCCAAAAAATTGATTTCTTCCTTATAAATTTTGTTGAAATAGCCTTGATGATGTTTTTCATGTAAATGTATGTTATCCAAAACCTCATTAATAGAACTTTCTTTCGATATTATTGGTAGATCATTACAATTAATATGTTTTCCTTCTCCTTGAAAACAAATCGAAAGTTTACCAAGTTTGTTTCCAGGATGAAATGGATTTGGATGCTTCATATTGCGTGCCTTTTCAATTAATTCCATATTTGGAATATGTATTGAAATCTTTTTAGGAATTATATATAATGAACTCGAATCATTATTTCTTATTAAGTCCAAATTAGATAATCTATGGCCTTGTCCACTAAAGTAGTTTATTTTAGTCGATTCTTTTTTTTTATATTCAATCCTTCTTACAATCTTGCCAGAAATTGTTCTACCAATTTTTATATCAGGCATTATGTCTTCATCATCTGAAGAATCTGAATCTTCTTCATTCCAAGAATGTTTAAAAGAGTCAATTGGATTTTCAAATTCAAATGATATATCATTAAGATCAATTAGAACTGAATCTTCTGGTTCTGTTTTTACAATTCTAAATTTATAACAAGTGTCCGCAATTAACATTTTAATGCAACTTCTTTTGGTAACGCATGGGAAGAAATTTAATTCTCTTGCAAATAAATAATTATAATTTGTTAAATTAAAAAAATTTGAAGAGTATGGTTGAAAAATGACATGAGTAGCTTTTGGAATTTTAGAATATGTGACTTGAACTAAATCATTTTCTTCACATCCCAAGAATTCCATCATCCAATTTGGGATACAAATTTTATCTTTTTCCATACTGAAATTTTGTACTCCAGCATGTATTTGTAAACCATTATTATTATTTTTAATGCAAAAAATCAAAGTATCTTGGAATTCCCATCGTGAAATTAATAAAGATTTAAGATCTTCTTCTGGAAGGTTGATTCTTCCTGTTGTTTCAATTTTAGAGTCGCAATTCTCAGAACTGAAGCAATTATATGTTTTACTAAAGCCAAAATCAGTCATTTCAAAAAATGATTGTTCATTTGATTATTTTTTATATGGAAAATTTTCAATAGTAGATGCCATAGAAAAATATTGTTCTAAAATTTTTTGACGATTTTGGAAAATATCCATAGAATATTTTCCAAAAGAAAAAATATAGAAAAAAAAGATCAAAAATGTATTCAGTTTGTTTTAAATTTATTTTTTAAAAGCATATTAGTCAATTTTGGCAAGAAATTTCTCTCAAAAAAGCATGATGTATTAATTTTTTAGAGAGTAAACTTATTCAAAAAAAAGTAATATTCATTCGTATTAAAAAAATTAATAGGTATTTAAACGATTTTTTTTAAATAAATTTCATAATTTTTCCAAGGCTCAAGATATTATTTTTTTTTCCAATTTCATTAAATTATACTTTGAGCCTTGACAATAATTTGTTCAACATCGATTCCATTTATTTCATTTTTTAGCCAATTGATTGCTTTTCGCTCAATCATTAGCAATGAATTTCTTTCATTTGCTGCTTTTTTCCTCAAAGCAGCAATAGCAAGAATTGTTGCCAATAATTTTATTTCCATTTCTACACTACTTGCTTTAATGCTATCAAAATTGCTTACATTTGTTCCGAGTATTTTGTTTAACGCATCCAAATCGTCCCAGAAACCTGCAGCTTTTTGAAGCTGTATTATTTTCATGAAATCAAACTCATCATCTGTCTTTTTGCTTATTTGTGAATCATTACAAATGTCTTTGGAACATGATGTTTGATTAGTATCCCACGAACTGCTTAGAACTGTTCCTCCTGATTCTGAAAATGACTTCATCATTGCTCTTGAGACATCATCATTTGATGATTTATAAATAGAATTAACGAAATTCGAAAACGAATAATCAAAATTTGGCTCCATTTTTGTCACTCCAATGAATCCAGTGAATTTGCAGAGTACACCACTTGAGATGCTTATATCAATTGCCATCGCTTTTTCGCTTTCTGAAACATCTCTTTTTCGTTCAACTGACTTTAGTATGCTAAATGCAAAAAGTGGCAATATTGCATCTGAAATATTTCGTCCTTGAGAACAGCCAAATTCATCTTCATCGTATTTCTGTAGCGATTCCACTTTTTCAATAAGAAATTCAACTGTTTCATTTGTATATTCACCACTGACCAAAAAGCCACAGTCAAATGGCGAACAATTAAATTCGTTCTTCTTTTTTCTAAGGAAAACAATTGAAGCTCCTGTTGGATTGACGTTCGGAATCGGAAAAGGAGAAACCATGAAGTCATTATTGCTTTCACCTTGGATGTGAATTTCAACTGATGTTAAAGATTCTTGAAGTGAAGATAGCATTTGTGGAATCACTTTTTCACTGATTGAATCGCCTTCTTGAACAAAGTCACACATTCCACTAGATGCTAGAGCCATCCCTTCAACAAGGCCAGCATCACATCCTCTTCCTATTCCCAGTGTAAAGCATCGATTTTCTTTTGAATTACTTGAAATTAGAGATAGAACACATTCAACATCAAAAACTTCACCATCTGTCAAGATGAAAATTTGACGCTGCTGTCCATTCAAAGGTTTGTTAGCAAAAATGTCTTCCAATGGCTTTTTTATTTCTGTACAACCAAGATTAGCACTCAAATGATTTGCTAATTCTATTCCTTGTTTGGCGGTTTGATCGTTGTATTCAACTGACTTGTCAAATAGCTTCGTGAAAGAACTGCCAAATCTATATATGTTGTAATATGAATTTGGAGGAAGAGAGTGAATAAAAAGATCAAGACATTGTGAAGCTTTTTTGATAGATATTCCTTCCATCGAATAACTGCAATCAACAACAAATATGAATTCATTTATATTTGTGCTTTCTAATTTCGGTAAATTTGGTGCAATTGTAAGAGCACAGCAATCATATTTTAATGAGTCAGATGGTGCCAGTAAAATTGAACTCTGCATTTTTTCCTTCCCTTCAAATGTAATAATTATTGAATTCTCATTTTCATGATTCTGAATTTTCTCATTTATTGAAAAAACTTTTGTGAGTTCATCGTACTTTCCATTGATTACATTTGATGTTATTTTCGATACACTCTCGTCATTGGACTGTATTCTAAACAAAAAATCTGATGAAATGTTGCCAATGCAACCAAATGTATCAGATGGTGTGTAAACGTTCAATGGAAATTTGATGAAAAATTTTTTTTCTGTTGTCACTTTTGCTGTAAGTGCAATTTTTAGTATTACTTTGCATTCTATTCCGGGAGGTACATTGCCCAACTTAAACTCAGTCATGCAATCGTCATTGTTCGATCCAAACAAAGCTAGACAATTTGAATCAACAGCTTCTTTGTACGTTTTTTCAGCTTCTTCTTTTGGTCGAAGTTTTGGTTTGATTATTTCGTTGCCAACAACAAAAGTCGTATCGTATATGCACATTTTGAGATCATTTGGGAAAATATAACTGACTTCTTGTAAATCTGATTCAGAATGTGTGAATGTTTGTGTGACTTCAAAATTGGTTATCAAACCATGCTGTGTTCCTTCGATTTTAACCGATCTTGTAGTCATGCTTTGAAGGTTTGCATCTTTACTGATGCAGCATGTGCCAAAAACCATCTTTTATTTAATGTCCAAAATTTATTCACAAATTTTAAGACGATTCAGAATATTTTATTAAAATTTTGAAGTTTTATCTCCAAAAATATTTTATTTTTATATTTAATATAAAATATATCATATTAAATACAGTAATAATAATCATAAAATGATTTTTATATTGAATTTATTTCCTATTTGTTGATATATTATAAAAATACTGATAAATACATTTTCAATTTCTTACTTAAAAATTTTCAGAAAAATTAATTAAAAATTTTGAGGGCGGTCTGATGCCTCTCAAAAAAA